TAACCTTCACAACAGCTTTCCTTTCCAATATTTCGTTTTTTCTTTCGTACCGAGAGACTCCATTCGCGCGTAAACGGAGGGATTTCGTACGTAAAAGATACGTACGTTCTTTTGCAAAAAGAGGAGAGGACAGTTGATCGATCGATCGATCGGGAACGATCAGTTTCTCTTGTCCGGGTGACAGTCGTTACGATTTTTTTTCCCCACGACTCTTCTGCCAGTGGTGGAACAAACTCGAACGAGAGAATAGGCTAGAAAGATCGTAACGAAGATCCTCGAGATCTAATAAGAAACAAGGTATGGTTGGAACACTGCAGCCATAGATCGCGAGGACGGAGACTGGTCGGTGACGAGCGAGTATAGCGAGTCCGGCGTGTCGGCGAGTTCGGCAGAAAGTTCGGAGAGTTTAGGAGGATCCAGCTGGAGCAACTCGGAGAAGGTCGTCGGAGCGCGTCGTCGCGGAGGCTCGCTGTTGACGGTGGCGTCGCTGTGCCGCGTGCGGGGCCGCCGCGTCGGCAAATCGGCACCGTCCAGTTTCCGAAACCGCGCCGCCTGCGACAAGAGCGGCGGCGAAGGCGCTGCCAAAGGCGACGAGGGGGCCCAAGGAGGCGCTGGCCAGGCAGGCGGTGGACAGTCGAGCAGCTCGACGACGCCCGGATTCGCGCGCAGCGTCGCCAACGGCCTCAAGCTCGCCCAGACCCAGGCAATCGCTGTCGCTGGCTTCCTCACCGACGTTGACTCGCGGCACGATCGCGTCTGCACCTCCTGTCTCTCGCATCGGGCCTCTTACCACGGCAGAGGTGACTAATCCTCCACTAATACACACCATCGCCAACGCTCCACTCTCTCATTCTCGCGCGCCCTTCTCATATTCAATCGACCGAATGTCAGGGATCATTGTCGAGATCCAGTCTTGTCGCTCGATAAGGAAGAAACCTCCCTCGGCAATCGTTCTCAATTGCATTCGAGTTTCACGAGTCGGAAAAATTTTATTCTACTTTTCATTTTTACTTGCTTTGTTCTTTTCTGTTACATCGAAAGTTAACTAAATTCATATAAAAAAAATATATATATATATATAT